TTTCCACGACATTCTAATTTATTGAGATGCACCTGTATATCATTGATGAATTTTCTGTCAGTATTTCTGAAAAATAGAGGTTAATGTTCGGTAAAAATATAAGAAATATGGGCATCCCGAGTTCGAATCCCAGCTCGAGAACCTCCTCTCTCTCTCCCACTTCGCTTCCTGTAATCTCTACACTGTCCTTTCACAATAAAGGCAAAAACGGCAAAAATAAATCTAAAAAAAAAAAAAACAATATTTGAGAATCAAACATATATATCAAATTCCATTTTTAGGCGTTTTGGAGTATTCTGTGCAACAGTGCAAGTACGTCAGTTTTTGCAAGGATATGTATATGAAATAAATATCACGAAGCAGCAAAGATTCCACAGTGAAGTTAACATTTTATTTCTTTAAGTGCCATTCATGCATATCGGGGGAAGGGGTGGTATTGACAATCCTAATGACACTTCAGAGTTATTTTACAGCACTAAAACCAATACAAAGAGAAGCCGTGTCATCTTATTGGACAGCAAAAGTAATAAACCGTGCAATAACAAAATGGACAAAAAGGGGAAAATTAAGGAAACGACAAATACAAGTAATGACCAGGACAAAATCAAACAGAAAACAAAGATTAAAATAGAATATAAACACTGAAACACTGAATGTTGAACCATAGTACAGGTAAAAGGTAGTGTCACACAAAAAGCCAACGCATTTTCATCACATATATACAATATAGATATATACATACTGTGTCACCCTTGGATTGGACAATAACAAAATACTCTGTATTCATCTCCCTCTTTTCTTTTGCAGGTGAACCCGAGCCCTTGCCTTGATCCCTCACCACCCCAGAGGAAAAAAGGACAATCGAAAAGACATATATTTACAATAAGCACAACGACACACCAACAATGAACAAAATAGGCTCCAAATACCAGAACTTGTTGGCAGTTTTCTCCCGTAAATGTAACAAGGCTTCTTCCTTGATTACAGTAATCTCTCTGGCAGATGCATCCCCACTTGTTTTTAGTTCTTTTTTCTTTCGTTTTACGAAAACTGAGTTGTCTTTAAACAGTTAAAATTTTCACAACACAAAATCAAAGGAGCAATGTTTTTCCTTTTTCTTTTTTGAGAAGAAGAGAGAGAGAGAGAGAGAGAACTCATCACCTGTCCAGCTCATATTCTCTAGAGCCCACTTTATGCTTTCCGTTCAGTCCGATCCTTCAGACTTACGTTACCCTTCCCCACCTGGGAAGGACGCCAATTACCTGCTGCCTTAAATGTTGCAAAATTAAACTCTCTCTTTGGCAAGCAAGAGATCCAAACACATCACTACCAAAAACAGATTGGCAATACATACGAAATATTTCCAACCGAAAACTGACCCCCTCCTTCTGCGGTCGACATCCAGACAAACCATGATCGAGGGTGAACACCACAGTATGGTATTAAAGTTCACACCGAGGGTGGATCGATGCCAGATGTTCACTCGGCAGTGAGCGAACGAGGTGAGATCCTGCTTGAGTTAATGAATTACGTAAGCGTTTGTGCTTCTGAATTCTTTTCAAAGTGCACAAATGAGCAGATAAAAGCTCTCAAAGCTCTTTGTATGACAAACACAGGCTGCGTGAACAAGGCTCCTGAACACTTCAACAGTATCCAAATGAAAACATGAGAGAGAAAGAAAAGAGCAAGAACAGGATGCAGGGAGCCAAAGCAGATTTGGGCAATGAAGCTTAGCTTAAGAACAATGTGCACAGCGTCGCAGTCAAATCACAGAAAAACACAGACGCTGAACAGTCTGTCTGGGGTAAAGTGGATAACGGTTCTGTCACCGTTTTTCCTTCCTTGTAGAATCCGGCAATGTGAGCAGACTCTCAAAATCAGCATCATGGGCAATTTAATTGGATTTCTAGGTTACGTTAGGCTTCAGTAATATGGTTTCGCCAATTTAAACCCTATTAGCGTCAGAGAATCTGACAATTGCTTATGTAATGAGGGAACACATGGATATGTAACAAACTACATAGCTGATCGTGGACAGGACTCAGTGAAGAATCGAGCTGAAATGTCATGAACATGAAGAGAGTTTGACTGGGTTCCTTGACCATTACAAATGTTTTAAGGTGAATCGCTCAAAACCTGTCATATTTGACCGCAAAATCAAAAGGCAGAAATATTTTAAAAATTGTATTCAAGTAAATGGTTTTATATTATAATATAAAGACTGTAAAAATGTCATTGCTAGTAATGTAAGGGGGAAAAAAGCAAAATAACACTTTTTTTTTTACTGCCTTTAAGCTAAATTGAATTATTCAACTATGTTTTGTATTTTCTATGTATTTTTTCCCCATGAAATAATACAAATACTGTTTTACAGTAATGACAATGAATCACTGCTGAGAATAATGGGAATTACTAGAAGAAAAATAAATAATGTAAAATGTCTGAACAGATTACAGTAATGGGAATTTTAGAAGGGAGATGTACTTATGTGCCATTATAATAACAATAATGTTTCATGATAATGTCAGAACTCCAATATTAATGGTCCTAAAATATTTTTATGTAAACCATAATTTCTTTTTCTTTCTAATTTTGAGGTTTAAATGTGTGTTTTTATGAAGGATATACGACAAACTGTTCCAATTATATTAAGGGCCTTAGGGATCAAAGGCCAATACATCTCAATGACTAGTGTAAATACTTGGAGAGTTTATAATACTGTAATACATTAAAAAAAAAGATTGTCATAAGATCATTTCACTTTTCCAAGTCTATTAGCACTTACACTCTGATGAATAATAAAACAAAGCCCATAAGGACGACTGAAAACTACTGAAGACCAAGGAGACCAAGGTGTGCATAAACTTTCAAGCTGAGAAACAGATCCACTCCTTCCCTTTTCAACCGCATTTTATGGCTTTTCTAAACCAGCCCTGCACTCTAAAATTTGGTCTAATCGAAGTGGTGCTTCTCACTGAGAAATACCCTGCTAAAGGTCAAAGGCTGGACATATTTCTAATTTGGGTTCCGCTATTCTAGTCCAGATCTTGTGCATTAGTTTTGTGCTCTTTAAAAGAGATGATTGTAATCACTGATAGCCCTAAATTAATTATATTGCACAAAAACATTCCATAATATCACTGATATAATAAAATGACACTGTGGTTTGTAAAGTTAGCAGACACTTTCAACTAAACGTCTTAAAACATAAGACTGTAGTATGCTAATTACAGCTGCTTAAGGGCGCTACACTTGATAGAGCAGGACACAGTTACTGTCTAGTTTCTGCATCCAGGTTGATGTTTTTTTTATTTGAAGGATGGTCTGAATGTGTGTGATTTTAAACTTTGCACAACTTCTTAGTAGTAGAATTTCAAATGCAGCAGTTAACATTCCTCCAAAATAAGGCTATTAGTGTATCTAAGTATTTTAGTCATCTCCTTTCTCTCTGTATTACGCTACACCCAGCATTCAACAGCTAAAGTGAAGGTATGCTCTCTGGAAAAAGTCCTTGTCAGAGCAGCATAGAGCAAGCGATTTCATGTCAGTTGGTCCTAGGGTTAAAATAAAGAGGGCTCTTTTATTGCGGACCATTAAACAAATGTGCCTTGACGTGATTTTCATCTCCTTCTCAACGCTGCTGTAAAGAGCCACACAGCAGGCTGATTTCGCAACGAGAACAGGGCTCTCAGGTATCCCACAAATCTCCAGTCAGGGAAGCGATCGCTCCTAAACGCGTGAAATTTTCTGTGGCAGGTCCTGAGGGCTTTAAACGAACTCACAAAGCAACGCAGTCCAATCGGGAGACTACAGGTTGACGGGGGATGGTCAACAGAAAGAGGATTGTACATGCAAACATAAAGCGATTAGGGAAATCGATAATAGTGAGGTCTGGATCGATATCATTTTCATATGAATTTTCATTTTCATATTCAGACTAGTCTAAAACTATTAGTGACAAAAAACATGACACACTTCAGACAGCAAAGATACACAAGTACAAATACTGCAGGTAATGTGGCTTACACGTTTTGTTATGAGCCTTAAGAATCAGTAAAATCTGCTGGATTTGGATGCATGGCGACGTCGGCATATTACAGTGTGTAGGGTCAGAGGAGCAAAAAATTGGCTACTTGTGCCTGAACGATGGCAGGTGCTTAGAGTGTCACGTTACCTGCACCATCGGCCCTCTTCTGAAAAGTGCCCTGCATCTCAGATGAAGTTTCACAACACAAATGAGGGAGCCAATCTTGTCTGATAGGCAGTCGAGGCCTGAGTTTGTCACCACGAGAGGGGAGAACAAGCCGGATGCAATCACTCGAAAAATCACAGAACAACAGTTGAAGAGCAGGGGCGAGCTTGGCAAGTTTGCAGAGGCTGTGGGTCGGGAGACATTTGACTTAAACAAACCACTTGCCCCTGGGACAAGTATAAAAGCGATCACTTAAACGTGTCCTAGTAAATGTGATTGTCTTCAAAGTAATATCTTTTTGTTGTTTGTTTTTGTTTCATAAAAACACCAGGAACACAGGAGTCTCTTTCAGGTCATAATGAACAACACCTGCACTATTTTTCAAGTGTCCCATTCCAATCTGCCTTTCTGTCACGGGCATTTAGACACCTCAGGTCCAGCCCTCTTGCTCTGTAACACAAACACACTGCCTCCATACGCTCCGCTCTCGTTTTGTCTGCACCACTCTTCGCTCTCGGGGACTGGGTTAGACGATGGAGTCCCAGTCAAAGTCATCCTGGATGTCGTCGGCAGGCATGCGGCGTATCTGGAAGTTTCCAGCAGGCATCATATGCTGCTGGTTCATCTGAGCGTGATGGCCTGAGGGCAGAGCAGAGGGGAACGGTCACGACATACAATGCTTTAGCGTGCAGAGATTTTTTAAGAAAACTATTTCGATTCATATTGTGGAAATATGCAATACAAACTGCTAACGAAACACAAAGGTGTGGATGCTTGTTTCTATGTAGTTGCTGTGAATGTGTTTTACAGTGCTGCTATGCCTTAACTAGTTAAAGTGTGGTTCCTAGGGTGTTTTGGGAATAACCAGGGCGTCTCTTTGATATCCCGGTCACTATATATGGCTCAGCTCCTTCAAATGCATGACTTAAAGGTGTAGTTCACTCAGAAACATAAATTCTGCCATAATTATTCACCCTCATGTCGTTCCAAACCTGTAAGACCTTCGTTCATCTTCGGAACACAAATTAATTTTTTTGATGAAATCCGAGAGCTTTCTGACCCAGCATAGACAGCAAGGGAACTATCACGTTCAAGGCCCAGAGAGGTAGTAAGGATATTGTTAAAATAGTCCATGTGACATCTGTGGTTCAACCTTTATTTTATGAAGCTACGAAAATAATTTTTGATGTCACATTGACTATTTTTATCTCAAATAAATGCTGTAACTTTCTATTCATCAAGGAATTCCACTAAAAAAGGTTATCACAGTTTCACAGCACAACGGTTTTAAACATTAATAATAAGGTTTCTTGAGCACCAAATCAGCATATTTGAATGATTTCTGAAGGATCATGTGACTCTGAAGACTGGAGGAATGGCTGCTGAAAATTCAGCTTTGCCATTACAGGAATTAATTTTTAGAAAACATTTTACTATATTATGTTCTCTAATCCCAAGTATGAGTGATAGTAAAATCTGTTATGATAGTATTGCATACATTTTTTATTTTATTTTAAACACTGCATCCTGTTCAACATCCTGCCACATTTGTAAAAGCTGAAAAGGACAAGGACCTGTCATAGTGGGGCCAGCGCTGCTCATGGGAGGCATATGAGGATATCCCGGCGGACCCATCATTGAACTCAAGCTCTGTCTCGAGTCCATGTACATGTTTCCTGAAAAACAAACTGATGTTACTATGTTAATATTGTGGCAGTCTTAATATGTGACACTGTGGATTGTAGTCTGCTCACCTGTGTTGATGTGTGGGTTGGGTTTTGGATGCATGGAGCCGTGGCACACTGGAGGTTGCACTGCCCCTTGTGGCTGGATTCCAGTGCGAGCAAAGAACTGATTGATGGAGGAGCAGAGGTCTGCAATCTGAGTGGGCTCCAGAGACCAGTTATTCAGCTCCGCCTGCCTCATGCTCTCTTTCAAACCTTCAGAAAAACAGTGACAGATTATTTAATCAGTCTGTCCAGTTGATTTCTCAAAACTCAAATGAAACTGCTTGCTAAACGCTACTGTTTTAAAGGGGTCATATGATGCGATTTCAAGTTTTCCTTTCTCTTTGGAGTGTTACAAGCTGATTGTGCATAGATAAGATCCCTGAAGTTGCAAAGACTAAAGTCTCAAAACCAAAGAGATATTCTTTATCAAAGTTAAGACTCTGCCACGCCCCCCTAAAACGGCTCGTTCTAACACGTCCCCACATATCTACCCCACTACGTGTAAATATTAGTATAATGCAACCCAAATGTGCACTTTGCTATGACAATCTGGCGCTTCTGAATCAGCTACTGTTTTGTTATTAGTTTAAGTATTTGCTATTGACTGTTCAAATGCGGAGTTTTGCGCATTGCGTGTGTGTGTGCACGTGTGCGCGCGCGTGTGTGTGTGTGTGTGTGTGTGTGAGAGAGAGAGATGGAGAGAGAGCGAGAGACCAGCTTCATCACTGTGTCTGTCATGTGACTCTGTTGCACTTTCGGGCTCTGTCTTTACATTTATTTTGAAAGATGAAGCTCGCGATTATGGTAAGGGGCGTTAAATTTCCGACGAGTGCTTGCGGTGTTCGGCCAATCACAATGCACTGGGTCAGCTGGCCAATCAGAGCAGACTGCTCTTGTCTGAGGGAGGGACTTTGTAGAAAACGAAGCGTTTGAGAGAGTCGGGGCATAGAGGACTTACAATAATGTACAGTATTTGAAAAATAATGTGTTTTTTGAACATTAAAGCATGTCAACATTCTGTTACACCAAACAAAATAATGATCTTTAAAAAAGCATCATATGACCCCTTTAAAATTAAATGCAGAGTTAACATACAAAACAAAACACAGAAATAGCTTAACAGGTCCTTTGTTCAAGTTAATAAGCAATTTTCCAGTGATTGTGAATTAATAAAGAACATTGCTTAGAGTTTCATTATTTACACACAAACATTTTTAATTTCGTAAGTAATGAAAATGTTCTTTATGTCCTTTGTTCTTTATTTAGCAATGTTCTTTTTTTCAAATAGTTTCTTCAGTTTTTTAGTTTAACTACTCAAATTAGCCATTGCATATTTAGCCTAGACAATTTAGCTTTTATATATATATATATATATATACATACATACACACACAAACACACATATATATATATAACAATATTTATTCACAATGCATCATTATATATCATACAAGCAGAAATAGTACAAAATTTACAGCTTAAAAAACCAAAATGATTAACTCTTTTTCATTAGCATTTAGTCTCTTGATAAAAACAACAACAACAGTGAATTTAGTATATAAACAGACATTCTGATTATACCTTGGAAGGGTGACAGATCAACATCAGCCCAATTGTAGCTGCTGGCGATGCGGCAGCTTTCTTTTAGCGCATCCAGGTTGGGGTACCAGTCACTGGGAAGACCTGCAGACAAAACAAGAAGGTAGTGAAGGCCACAGCAGACAGCAGAACTCAGAATGTGTGGAAGCTGCTGTGCACTTCCTGTTTTAGGCAGTAGGGGGAGCCATAACCCTCTGCTACAGGCCTGCTCGCTGAAGTGTGCAGCATTTGCTTTGTTCTCATTAGAGGAGCTGTATAAATCACCCTATGATTTACTGCTGACTGCTCCAAAGTTGCCATAAATTTCTTAATCTAAAATAAATGACTGTTAGAAGAGGCCTGAATAAATCGTCCTGTCAGGGCAATGCCAGCATGAAAGGAAGTATGCTGAGGGTTCGAGACAGAAAGCAAGAGAGACGATCAGATAGAACTATCACAGACACACAGACTCTTACCGGTGTTGCACTGCATCTGTTGCTGGGCAGGATGAGGCTGGTGGGAGAGATTCTGGTGCTGCTGCTGCTGCGGTGTGTGCTGGCCGTGGGCCTGGTGCTGGGAGGGATGCTGCCCGTGCTGGCTGTGTTGGCTGTGCTGGGGATGTTGGCTGTGTGCCGTATGTGGGTGCTGGCTGTGCTGGGTGTGAGGGCCATGCTGTGAGAGGTGCTGTCCGTGGGGCGAGTTGTGGGCCGAGTGAGGGGGGTGAGAGAGAGGCACCTGACTACCATTGTTGGGGTGAGAGTTAGTGATGCTGTTCTGGTTGTTGTGAGGGTGGGTGCTGATGGTTGTGCTGGGGGAGTGTTGGTAAGAGCAGGAGGTGTGGGTCTGCTGGGACGACTCCGAGGGCATACCCATCAGACCTGTAAGGATCAAACAGACAGCATCATTTCAAACAGGCTGCCTGCATCTGATAACCTGATAAGCTTTTCCATCATGTCAATCTAAACTATTAATTAACACTCAAATCTGTCACTGATACAGGCAATACTTTATATGAAGGTAAGTAACAAGGCACAATAACTATATTGCATTTATTTATCGTTTGGTTATTAATCTTAATCAGTGTTGGGCAAGTTACTTCCAAAATGTAATACATTATGTATTACTAGTTACTGTCTTTTGAAAGTAATTAGTTACATTACAATATTACTGTCTCTGAATTGTAATGTACACTACTTTTGAGTTACTTTCACCAAAATATCCACATAAGTATAATAAAATGATAAAATGTAGTTTATTGCCGCTCATTCTACACTCAGTCGAGGGTAATGTGGTAGGTCTATATAGCATAAAATTATAAAATCATATTTAGATGCCGGTATGTAGGTCTACATTAATGTTATGTGTAGTTTAGGTTAAACACAGATAAACAGAAACCACACTATTACATTCATAAATAACACCGGTAAATAAAGCAAAATGTTATAATGTACAAACAATAAACACCATACCTAGCCTATAGGCAATTTTGAACGGCTTCAGAAGAAAACAAGATTGAAAAATATAAGTTGCTAACCAAGCCAAAACGAATTAGGCTAATTAGTGGCGGCGCTAGGGCGGGGCCCATCAGAAACTTGCTTAGACCCGGCACAGCCCCCCTAAGGATTTCCTAATGATGTTCCCTTATTTTTGGTGTCACTTTCATTAACATTGAAAAATAAACATAAAAAAAAAAATTTTAATATTGCCAATTTTTGATGCTTTGTTTTGACAATATCTCTAGCTATCGTCAACACATGATACGACATCTCAGCACGGGGAGGTTATCATATGTATTTGAATGCTAAACTATTATTTATTATGTAAACCAGGCTTATAATGCACTTAAAAAACATCCTCGTCACATGAGCAAACGTGTCTTTGGCCCGAGCTCAACGCAATAATTTCATGTCATTTAATAATAAAAGTAACCTAATAATAACAATAGGCCTAATAATAAGAAGAATGTAACAGGCCTACATTACTTGGAAATGCTAAATCCTCTTAATATTGCCAATTTTTGATGCTTTGTTTTGACAATATCTCTAGCTATCGTCAACACATGATACGACATCTCAGCACGGGGAGGTTATCATATGTATTTGAATGCTAAACTATTATTTATTATGTAAACCAGGCTTATAATGCACTTAAAAAACATCCTCGTCACATGAGCAAACGTGTCTTTGGCCCGAGCTCAGGCTGAACGGCACCGATTGTAGCTACTACGCAGTACGCACAATTTAAATTTACCAGTGTATCTATATGTTTGGTTGACTGTATTTTATTCTGATAATGAACAGGCTGCAATGTCTGCAATGCTGTGTGTGCGTGAGGCGCCGGCGCGATCGAACAGCGGAAACAAACAAAAAAATATTCTGTAATCTTTGGTCATACAGATCATTCGAAACTGCACTGTGTTTACTTTTATTTCTGTCATCTCGGTTTCCTTCCCATGGACTTTCGGAGAGTGCCGCGCCAACCAAATTCAGCAGCATATCTCTCAGTCTTTTCCTTTTGTTTTGTTAATCTGTTAATTAGGCTATTTAAGTCAAATATTTCGCATTTGCATTCATTTTACATATAGACTATGATTTAATAAAAATGTGTTATTTTTAGTTAAACTTAATTTTTGTTGCTTGTCTGCACTCGTTATCTCTATATCTTCTCTGACCCCGCAGCTCTCTCCGTTAGCTTAGTGTTAGTGGCACCAGTCCAGGTGTTTCCAGGTTTTACTCGTGCTATTTCTCCATGTTGAGAGTTTGGTGTCGCTCATATTGCTAAGCATTCTTATCCTTTTCTCCAATAAACTGAAAATAACAAGAGTGTGTCCATCTCACAAATGTAGAATCCTTCTCTGCAGTCATCTCAACCATCTAATTCCAGCAACAGAAGATAGACAAACTAATAGACAAACAAGAAATTTTTTCTCTGGTGCTGTTTTGCGGTGTTAGTAAATTCACCACTTAATTTAGAGTTAAAATATGTTGCTGTAACTTGCATTACTGCGATTGTAACGAGTAATAATATTACCCAAATTTTATTAGTAATGCGTTATATTACTGTGTTACAGCAAAACGCAATATACTACTGCAATATTATTACTTTTGTAATACGTTACTCCCAACACTGATCTTAATGTTAAATTTTATATTTAGGCACTTTATGCATAAGCAAATTATCGGTTAAAATGTTACGTTAATTTGACATTTTACTGTATTTTATTTCTATTTTTTATTTAAATTCAATTCAACTTTATTTGTATAGCGCTTTTGACGATACAAATCGTTGCAAAGCAACTTTACAGAAAATTAAGTTTCTACAATATTTAGTAGTAGCTTATCAGTGGTGACTGTCAGTTAATGTACATATGGCAGAAATGTACGGAAAAATCAATTAAAGACGTAATCAAACAGACGATGAACACCATTAACAGCAATTTAATATTTTTTATTTCATCAGTCATTGACAGGTAACACTAATAAAACATTTGCACAAATAAACTTGAATTCAACAATACTATTAATATTTAATTGATATTTCTAGCATTTAGTTATTATATTTAAATAATTTAATTAACATTTAATTTATTTTAATAATAAAGCACAATCGTTTACAGCTTTTCATCTGCTGGTTATTAATCTTAAATGTTAATTTCTACATATACTAACAGATGTTTAATACTGAAAGTGTAAAAATTCATATGTTAACATGCAAACTAACGGTTAACAAAATTATACTTTTTTTTTGTCTTAATTTAAAATGAAATATCAAAACTATTTTTGTATTATACATCAATGACAAATAATCAATAATAACATGCAATTGTAAATCAAACAAGATTACTAAATGCTGTAATAAATGCATGTTTATTGCCATTTCACAACACTTCACTTATTAACTAAAACTAATGTACAGAACCTTACTGTAAAGTGTTACGTAAAAACCGACGGTCGAAGCTGTAACCTGGAGGGCTAACCTCCATGCATTCTTTGACTGAGCCATTGTGCTTGTGTAGGCAGCATGAGTTCGACTCCAGCTTGCAACTTTTTCTGATCTTGTTTCCTACTCTCCCCATAATTATACCTTATCCTATCATTCACTATTTTTTATCAATGTGGCAAAAAAGGCCAAAACATTTTGAAAACATTTGAACTTGTCTTTTTAAAATACACAGGGGCGTCGAGACGGTGACTCAGCACAAAGTTATTGTCTCTTAAATTGCACCAGAATTTCTCCCTCTCCAACTTTTCATTCGTACACCAATTCCAACATCTGCACACTCAATAGCAATCAGCGAAGCGTGCAGCTCGCGGTCTTAAGAGGCTCTGTCCATCATGACGCTGGCACCGTAAACCTATTTCGGTGGAGAGCTTTTAGAGCAGACTGCGGGCCCTGCATCGCTGCAATCGCCAGAGAACACTCATCGGCGGGGTGACAGGGGTGCATCTCTTATCAGCAGAGAAAGCTATTGTCCAACCATGGGAGAGCACAGAAAGCAATTAGCTAGCAGCCCCCCTGAATAATAATGCGAGTTCATTACCTATTATCAAAGCCAGTGAATTAGCTCAGTGTCTCCAGCAGTGGGGTGTGAAATCCTCTCGCCAGCTTTATTTGCTCATTTTAATTGCCCAAGCTTGTCTGACTAAGAGATTTTACTTTTATGCACATAAAAAGGTAACAACGTTCAGCTAATGAAACATAGATGACAGATTAAAGAAGTTCACTTTGGAAACATTAACATGAAAAGCATCTGATTTGAGCAAAGTAGGTTAGATGCGGGGGCTCGTCTGGTGTTGTGTGCAACCTGCTTGTCAAGTGCTTTTTGTACATCAGTCAATCAGATTACAAACAATAGGAATTAACTTCTAAAAGACAGGCAAGCTTGCAAAAAACTAAATCTAGCACTGCATTTCCTGGGCTGTCATCTGAGCTGGAAAAAATTCAGAGTACACCGAGCCAATATCTTCCTTGCGATTCATAAAAATGGCTGCTAAACATGATCTAAAGAAAACAAGACTTGGAAAAAAAGTACATCATGTTAACACTTTCTTTTCCTAATAAATCCTCAAAAAACCCATAAAGAGGACGTTTTAAAGTGTTTTTTAAAGGAAGTGTTTTTAAAAGGCACAATACTGTTTTAGATAAATAACTTGAACCACAATAAGCTTGTCTTAAAGGGGTCATATGATGCGATTTAAATTTTTCCTTTCTCTTTGGAGTGTTACAAGCTCTTGATGCATAAAGAAGATCTGTAAAGTTGCAAAGACTAAAGTCTCAAATCCAAAGAGATATTCTTTATAAAAGTTAAGAGTCAACCACGCCTAACTAAAATGGCTCGTTCTAACACGCGTCTTGTGTGTCTACGTCACGATGTGGGAAGATTTGCATAACACCGCCCAAATGTTCACGCAAAGAAAGAAGGCGTAACTTTTATACTCGCTTTAGCATTTCTGTTGCCGCCGCTGCCATGTTGTGAAGAAGCTGTGTGTTTCGTTGTGAAAGCGAAACTACTTTGTTTGGCCTTCCAAAAGAGGACGATATCCGCTTCGTCATGCCTAGAGCTGATCAATGCTCGTCGCTGAGGAAATACATCAACTTTTAATCGCAATAACCGTGACTATTTTTAGACAATTAATCGTCAAGTCAAATTTCATAATTGTGACAGCCCTAGTTTACGCAGTGCGATACGCAACGCAACGTGTAAAAAGACAGTATAAGTCATTATAATCAGTAATTATGTCCCCACTGGATGCAACAAATGCCTTGTTTGTAATGGGTTTTATTGTTTTTGTCTTGTTGGGCCGGGACACAGGGCATCACAGTATGGTAAGGTGCGTAACATTTCCGTCACACGCTTGAGGTATTTGGCCAATCCCAACGCACTGGATAGCTGGCCAATCAGAGCACACCTCGCTTTTCAGACCGATGGGCTTTGTAAAAATCGATGCATTTCAGAAAGGCGGGGCATAGAGGAGAAACAATAATGTACATTATGTGGAAAATAATGTGTTTTTTTAACCTTAAACCGCATAAACACATTTCATTACACCAAATACAAAACATTATGTTCTTTTTAGCAACGTCATATGACCCCCTTTAATTGTTTTATAAAGTACTTTTATAATGCTTTCAGCTACAAAGAGGGTCATAGTCTGCTATATCATATTTATTTTTGGTTTAGACACAAAATTTTATATATTGCAAAACAAATGATGTAAAGTTAAATTTTGCTCCATTTTACCAGCTGATACCTATATTATAAATTATTATTATACCTATATTATACATTCTTTTTAATAAATACAATGAAATATAAATATTTTAAAATAAAATATAACTTAAGAATTAATTTAAATAAAGCTTTGATCCATTTTAAAGTACTTTCTTTTGATATACAAAATTACAAATTATGTATAAAATATTATATTAACCTTTCCAAAAATAAAGGCCTATTCAGCCGATACATATGATAAATTATAACATTAATTTCAGTAAATATTATGAATAAATTATATAAAATGTAGTTTGCAATATATGGCAGTGAATTTCTGAAAATGACTCATCTGGCAGGCCCATACAGAATCTGCACACTCCAAATTCTGCAGAACTGATCAGTTCCACATATTCTCCACTCTCTGCATGTTGGTTTATGAATTATTTTGGCTGACTTGTTGATGCTTTCAGCTACCAATAAGCCTGAAGTACTCGAAGCTCTGCAAGCTGCACAAAAACTCTGCAGACTAGACTTGGCGTTTTTTCTCCGAGCTGTCTGATGGGATGTCCGAGTGTGCAACTCACCCTGTTGGTTGTAGGACTGCTCAAACACAGTCTTGTAAAGGCTGCGGAAGGAGGCACTGAGATCTTCGAAGTCGGAGAAGAGCAGCTGCTTGTCACGTTCCGGTATGTTGTACTGGGCCTGAGGGGCCTGCTGCAAGCTCATGGACTGGGACACCGACTCTGGATGACTTGTCACCTGAAGGGGGAGGAGAGGAGGATGATGAACACAAGATTAGCAACCTTGCCACTCTAAACGGCAGCACTGCTCAGCCAGGCCCAGTGACCGGCAGATTAGAGCTGAGATAGAACATGACAGCACTGACTACAGCACTCAACATCACGGCACAGGAAATGAACTGCCAGACACACTGCAGTACAATATGCAGGAGCTAAATCTCAGGCGCACAAAACCCTCCAAATATTGACCGTTTATTTACTAGCATGGCTGAATCTCTACATACAGCCATGATCAAAACAAACACGTCTCCTGAGAGTCTCTCTGAAGTTGTTTTTACGGCTATTTATTCTGTAATTAACAGCTTGGCGAAACTAACTGAGCAACACAACTGAAATCGACAGCAAGATCATAAAAGCTTGCCTGCAAAAAACAGGCACTGATCCATAAAACAAATCTTTCTAATGATAAATATCCAGTACAGGTTTGCCCATCAAAATGAATTAGCTTGCGTGTCTGAAACTCTCACGTAAGTGTTTCACTCCAAATGGGATCTGCTCACTGTTTTGAGTCTGAAGAGATGCCTTTCATGCCCAGAATGAGTGATTCATTGAATAGCTCCCAAGGCCTCCATAATGCCGAGCATATTTGTGGCGTACACAAGGGCAGAGGCTCTGCCATGTCTAGCTCAAGACAACAGTGTTTAGCAGACTGGAGAGGCTGGCAAAACAGTCATCTGCCACTCTGGAGAAGTCTAATTCTAGCTGTCAGTGTGAACTAGTGAGGGGAAATACATGTATCTGAAGACATCACAAAGCTATTGCAAACAATCCCGTAAACAGATCATTGTTAGCGCCGGCGTTTCCTAGTGTCTCCCATTGGTAATACATGGTTCCAGCGTTATACTACACAAAAAAGCTATAAAAAAAATAAAATAACAAAATAAACCTTTTACAGCAATAAAACTTTGTGAATATCTTACATTTTAAATCCCATTCATTCAGTACAGGTTCACTGAAAATGCCTGAAAATGTGAGAATTTATATTTTGTTATAAAATTCAATAGTCTCTTGTCAGTACCCAAAATGCATATGAATGTAATCATATTCAGTACTGGACAGACAACCATATTCTGCTAGGTATGCACAATATTAACTTTCTGGCTGACACTGATAAGACGATAATTATTTTCATGTTATGGCTCATTACTAATAAATGGAAAATATTAAAATTCTATACTATACTAAAACATTAAAAACTAAAACTAATACTACACATGAATTTAGGCATCACTAAATCAGAGCAGGAATTAGCTTGCATAGAACATTAGCAGCAGAGACTAATTGTACAGAAGAAATATGAGCAGTGGGAGTCAGATGACACACTATGCATCACTGTAAAGATGAGTGCATATAATCTGGTTATGTTCAAACAGATTACATTGTTCAAATCAGCTGGATGAAGCAGAAAAAGAGACAGAGAGACTGAGAGAGAGAGAGAGAGAGAGAGAGAGAGAGAGAGAAAGCATTGTCTGGCCCACTGAAGTGAATCTATCAGTGTCTGTGCCGGATCAATGCTGAGAGCCTGGAGCGAGAAGCATGCAGGGCTTCTAGGGGACCACAACAAAGAAGCGGCTTCTCTGGTGGGAGGACATCAGAGGCAGCGTCTCTCTTTTGCAGGGCTCCAGCAGTATGAGCTCTGCTTTTCATTCCCTTAACCTCTGTGTCAGCCAGCTCCCATACACAGGCCTCCATACTCCAGCATTCTGACAAACACACTGGAATCTTGCTGCTTCTCATAAAGCAGCGCTCCACAATAAAACTCAGCAAATTAAGAGCTCTGCTTCAGGTTCACGAGAGGTTAAAGAGCAGAATAGTGCCTGCAAAGTTTGAGAATTTAGCTCTTACTGGCGTGTAGCTGTGCACGCTGCCCACGCTGTTGAGATTAACAGAGGCCAGACTCTGGTCAGAGAGACTATTGTTAAGACTGCTTCGAGGGCTGTCACTCCCGTCCTGGTCAGGGTTGTACAATGCCACCTGGAAATCAAGAAAGAGAAAGGGTCAATGATTTAGACAATGAATGAGTGCTTATGATAAAAATCTAGTTTAAAACACAAGTGCCAAGTTCTTAGACATGTACTCTTTGTTCATGTTGGTTTCATTAAGGTTAAGAAAAACTTGAAAAATGGTATGCCTTTAAAAATAATTTTTTTTACATTTGTGACCCTGGACCACAAAACCAGTATTAAGTCGCTGGGGCATATTTGTAGCAATAGCCAAAAATACATTGCATGGGTCAAAATTACAGATTTTTCATAATGCCGCCCAAATGTTCATGCAAAGAAAGAAGGCGTAACTTTGATTCTCGCTGTAGTATTGTTGTTGCCGTGTGTTTCGTTGTGAAGCCGGCCGGCCGCACTGTTCTCAAGCCCGCCCGCCGCCGCTCACTCTAGCCCGCCGTGTGTTTCATTGTGAAAGTGAAACTACTTTGTTTGGCCTTCCAAAAGAGGACACGACTGGAAATCAGTGGTTAAGTTGTATTTACAACACTGTTCCAGAACAGTTCAACCCAAATATTCAGATGTGTGCAGCACATTTTATGGAGGACTGTTTCCTGATCCTGGTAGAGTAGACTACAATGCCGGCTGTTCTGACTCACAGACTGCAAGTACGTTTTTTATATTTAAAGGATTTGCCACTGATGATTCAAACGAGAGTTTTGAGCAGTGTAGAGTAGCACTTGTTGTTTGTCATTTCTCCAATCACAAATGCAGACATGGTTTTATGTTTACACTGCATTTTTACATTACATTTTTAAATGCAATAAAATAAAAAAATATTAAACATGCAACACATTATATGTATTTATTAAGCAACTCATTAACTGGTTACATGTAAGTTTTAAACACGTTTTTCTTCATTATATCAAAATAGCTGCATAATAAACATTCCATTAATAAAATGTTTAAATACACAATTGTATATAAACACATGTATGAAAATTGGAAAAAATCAATATATTTTTTGAATACATTAATATATATTTATACATACATTCACATACACACATATAGGTCCTGTATATTAATGTATTCAAAAAATATATTACATTTTTACAATTTTCATACACATATATATATATATATATATATATCTCATCATATGAGATATGAATATTGGATGTAAAATATTTAATGGTTAATATTTTTATTAATGAAATAAATTTTTATATATTTAAAAAAATATTATTATTATTGTCTGTATATTTACATGTATGCATGTATGTGATGATAAGCTGAAACCACAGGTGGAGTGCTGAGGAAAAGGAGCCAATCAAACAGAAACTGTCTGGTTTCAGAAGTCTTGAGGGGAATTCTTAGCCCTTTTCATAACGGTAATGTTTACGGTTGCGTCACATACGTGACGTGTGGCATGCATACGCCACACTGTCTGTACAAGAGTAAGGTCAGCGTTAACATGCCGCACCCCACACTGTGGCTCATATGGAGAGAGAGCGTGGCTGGTGGCCAGCAAGATGATCTGCTGTCTCAGACGGCTGAGAGAGGAGAGCTCTCCTTCAGTAAAGGTCACGATGCTGGCAGCGCTGAAACAGTCAACTCGCACAGCGCAAATTGGTTTGGGACAGCTCACAAAGGTCCCGAATGCTACAGAGACCCTGACCTTTCTGTGTGCACTGTTGAATGCACAGTTTTCCGAAGCGGAATAACCTCCACTTAAAAAAATTATAATCCCAATTATCATTTGAAAAGCTGAACTGCAAATATGTGCTAGTTGCAAAATGAAAATAAATAAGGCATTGGAGGGATGGTATGGGAATGAATATAATGAGCTCCTGGGAGAATAGTCCTACATTGAGTTTGCCGAGGTAGGAAAGGATGAATGGAATCGCAACAATGCTGGCCGCACTCACATCACACGCCGCATGTCTTGGCAGCAGCAGTGTAGTACTAAAACCACGCAACAAGTCCCAAGATTCACCTGCCTCAGTAAGGACATACAGAGGCTTTCATGCTACACTTAACTGGTCGCCTACCCAAAAATTAAAATACAGTCATTATTGATCATGTCGTTCCAAACCTGTGTGAAAATATTTAGCAAAATGTCTCAATGGAAGTCAATGGGGTCCAAAATTACATTAAACCCTATTGGCTTTCATTGTATGGATATTTTCTAAAACCAAGGGTTAACCATTTCAATAGTGAAAGGCCCAATAGATTTTTGGTTGCCACAAGAGATGCAAATTCAAACACTTCGGTCCCGTTCCCCTTGACTCCTGAGAGTCGACAGCAGATAGAAAGACACATTACAGATCACGGTCTCTTACAAAGAATTATCATTCAAGCAGAATAAATGTTTCCCAATCCTATTATTCCCTGTTCATCAAAAGAGCGGAGCATAACAGTTGCCGGGGCTGCACTGGATTGAGGGTAGATGGGGGGTTAATGTCATGGAATGATTTGCATATTATAACTCTTCCCTCGTTCAGCTATGTTTAGGCCTGGAAACAGTACATTACCAGAACAACTAACCCTGTGTGCAACTAAGCTTAGGCATGTCGAAAATTCAATCACGCAGAAACCAGTTACAATTATAATCAAAACCTGGTGTGAAGAACAAGTATAAATGTTATATGTAATTAAGTCATAAAAGAGGCTTTTAGCCGTGAGCCTTTCACCACAATCTATTTTTACTCCCTGTATCCATAAAGTATGATTTAAAGACCTTGTCACACTGTGGTTTGTTCAAGGCCCAAATTGTAGACGCCTACATACTAACACTGTGTGCATGTCCGCACGCACGCACACACACACACACGCACATACACAGTGGGAAAGTAACACGCAGAGAGAAGGTAAGGGGTGAACAAATCCATTGCAAATACTCCTGTGTGTTTGCTGCGGTGGAAAAGGAGCACTATATTTAGCCATGAATTAAAGTCAAAAGCCAGTGGAGTCTTTCATACGGGTGACTAATCTTCAGCATGAGACAAGGATTATGAAATCAAAGAGAAATCCACCCAGGTGTCTCTAACAATAACTTGCATTCAAAAGAAAATTTCTACTTTGACGCAATTTAAAGAATGTTAGAAAAAAAGAAAGTTCAGCTTAGGCGTCAATCTATCTTTTGTTACAATCTTTCAATACAAAATAATAAATATTATAAATATATAAATTATTTTAAATCATATCTAAAAATGTATATCATTAAATTACAAATCTCTCCCTCTCACACACACAAAAATTATTATTTTGATTATTTAGCAGTAATATGTACTATGCTTTTTAAAAAAAAGTTAGAAAGGTAAGAAATAATATAATAACAAATATATAAAATATATTCAAATATACATAAATATAATATTAACATAATAAAATTATATATACACATCAAATATCTGTTGATTTATTTAGCAACATTTCTCATTCATTTCTACTATGCAATTTAAGAAAAAGATCATGAAAGTTCATGTTAAGCATCAAGTATCATTATATTTCAATATAATGAAAATATAAATATAATAAAATATATTTAAATAATATTTGAATATAACATTTCAATATCCTGGCTTTCTTGCAACAAGACTGCAGTACAGTCAGATTAACAAATCTTTCTTTTTTTTTTAAAACATCATAGTATAAGTCTGCAGATTCCATCTGGGCCTACTCACGAAGCTCAGCCAACTGACCTGAGAGAGGGAAAAGCATAGCAATAGCATAGTGATCATTTAGTCAGAGGGAGAGGGAGAAAGAGAGAATGCTCAGTCTCAGCCAGGCTTTCCTTCTCCATGTTATGCAGCACAGGCACGTTCCCATTGGCCTGCACCAGCAGGCGGGAAAGTATGAGAAAGAGGGAATTCCTGTGGCTTGGCATGAAGTGCTTAAGAGGTGTGGCATGTTCTCTGTTTACAGGGCCCACACTGAGAAACAGCATCTCCAAGGAGCCACGAGCTCTGCTGTCTTGTTTTTACTCTCCTGTGTGTTTGGTTTCTAGTCTATCAGCGTTTCGAGTAGGAGGGCAAAGAAAGCATATGCTCATGGGATAACCCCAAAATCCCACTACGGGTTGATCTTGAAATTCTTCCCATATGAACCAGTCATACCTTAAGCTTGCAATGTTTTGTTGTGTGAAACGCTTTAAAAGTCATTTGGAGGTGTGCAAAAACAACAATACTGATATTGCAATAAAACAATCAATAAAAAGATTTATGGTTTATTGTGTTAACATATAGGATGTGTTCTAAAACCATAAAAAAAACAAATGCATGCTATTTATCCTTCTAACTTAAAAAAATGTAACTTAAAAAATGTAGGCGCACGTTAAAAATTTTAGGAGCACCTTCTAATCAATAATCCAAAATTTTATCAAAAAGTAGCCTTCCCATTACGAGGTGATATTTGACTAACTTTATTAAAAGTATGTAATCTTTTGTCAAATTCTTACAAAAATTATATTTTATAAGCTTTTTAAAAATTGTAATTAAAACGACAAAATAAGAACAAGTAGAATAAGAAATATAAGTTACCAATCAAATGAAATCAGTATTTACAAAATTAATTTGTAGAGGTGGCACAGAAGAACACAGAAGTGGCTTGGTGTACTTTCAGACATTTAATGAGGCTCCGAGGTGGCATGAGTGCAATTAAATCCATAAATTCATGATGAGATTAATGCTTTAGATACAACATTTTGAATATAGAAATATTAAATGATTTAAATAACTGAAAAGATACTTTAAAAATTAAACTAAAACTGCCAGCAGGTGGCGGCAAGTCACTGATTTTATCACTGAATTTTTCCTTCAATTGATTCATTCAAACGGCTGATTCATTCAGGAATGAAGCAAGTGACTGTCTTTATGAATGGGTAATCATGAATCACTGACTCACTAGATTCGTTTAAAAACATGTTCATTCATAAATGAAACACCGCTGTGTTTGAATGGAGATGCGCTGTGTCTGTGTTTTAAACTAATTTCTACGACGAAATAGAGCAAAATCAGACAATAGTGTTATAGTCAGACAATGTAAGTCACTTAATATTAACTTCTTGTATATTGAATTGTATCGTATTAAATCAGTATCACATTTACAAACTCCCTTAAAAATCATTAAAAGCTGTCATTCATCTTAGTTCATCGCGATCTCACACGTATAATCAACGAAGCTCTCTACACTGCACAATGAATCTCTTATTGACACCCTGTCTACGCTTTGCTTATGAAAGGATTCGTGAGATATGTCTGTGATACATTACTCAACGCTGCAAAAACATGTAGAAACTTTTGAAGCTCCCCTGAGCGCAATCACAAGTATGATGATGATCGGGTCAGTCGCACTGGTGCTCCTAAGTTTTCAGTCACAAATGTGACTGAAATGGTCGCACTGTAGAGCCCTGTTATATACATTATACTATCACTTCGTTATTTGAAAACTGGGTCACTTGTAAAGGTTCTATTGTAGTTAGGACAACTCACTAGGTTTTGCAAAGAAATGTTCTAGCAATCACAACAATTCTATATACACTGTATAAATATTATATACAGCACCAATACTGTATTCTATCCAGATGAACAGATCACCAAACATACTATAATTCAATCCAAATGAATTCCACATTCCCCCTCAGTCCTCATCTTAAACACCATGCTTAATGTGAAATACTATTGGTTTAATGCCTGTAAAGTAAATTAATAACTGATGCTTTTGGGCTTTGTAAAAGCACTCCAGAGAGAGCGAGCAGCCTGCACCAGGCCAAGAGTGGAGCGCTTAAGGTTAAAAAGCCTATTTAAATTTCAGAGTGTTTTGCTCCATTCCTTTTTACACACTTCTCCATGAAGTCATGCCACGGAGGGCGAGTTACGGTACGAGTCACTCCGGGTGCTCTGCCTAGAAGCATACAGCAGGTAATCAGACCTCCAAACATTGAACAAACTCACTGTTCTCTAGCAGGAAAGTACTGCAACCATTTAGCACCATAATACAAGCTTTTATAGATGCAGCACAATCTTTAATGTAACTTAAATTTCACGAGTATTTTAATGTATACAGACCGGTCCCCATCCACTTTCATTGCAAGTAACCAAGATTTTTGCTTTTTTAAGGAAAAGGGGAGACAAATGGGAATTAATATAGTTATTTCTGCATATTAAGATGGTATAAGAGGAAGCATTTTAACACAAAATCACACACTTCAGCTTTAACTGAACGACAGAACCATTGAGGCAAACCATATCCAAAGATGAAGAATATTGTATTCGTGCACGGCTTAATATCTTGTGTAAGCGCAAACCTGACATTTTGGACTCGACAGACATATAGAATAAGGTATTAGTGATTCACAATACACCGCATATGCACCGTTAAGAGGATTTGTGCACATAATGCCAGCCCAATATAGATGAGACTCAACGTCAGTTTTCTCAGCGTCCGTGTAAACAAAAGCATCACATGTCAGTCCTGTTATGAAGTGCACGCATATAGCCATGGCAGGAAAAAATAAATGTAAACTGGGTATGTAGGCCGCTGGTGTCAGCTGTGATGGAAGAAACACAGCCAGGACTGAACACTACCTTGTTAGTCACAGTGTTGATTGCCAGCGTTGGAGAGGCACTTCCAGAGATGATGCAGTCCATTCCCAAGTTATCCGACTCCAGGCTGTACGGCGTGGATGCCTGCAGGAAAACAAGAGAAATACTCAGCCAACCAGGATGGAGATGATGAGGGATGTGAAGTGACTTTGATTTCTATTCAAAGGCGTTTGGTATTACTCTGGTGCAAGAAATTTAAAAGCATACGCAGTGAGCGTTTATCAACAACAAAAGAGCAACACCTTTTATTTAGGTCAAAATTGGAGGCATTCTGGGAAAGAGATGAGCAGGAGAGAGGAACGGCTCCCTGTGCGCTGTCTGCTCTTGCTGGGGAAAAAGATAACTTCAGCACGCCTGTCTCCCAAAACTGCTTATTATAAGAGGATTGCCTAGCAACAATGCGATTTTTAATTTGTGATAAACATAAATGAGATTTCGCTAAGTCACAATTTTTAATGTCAAAGAATTTCTTAAACGAGACAGCAGGAGGATGAGAGAGAAACCGAGAGAGAGAGAGCAAGCGAGTGTCTAATGAAATATACTCCTAATAGCGAGCGTCACACTTTGCACAGACAGAATTCCCACTTATTTTTGCATGCAGGATCAGGCTGAGAGAGAATGGATCTAATTGGAGGTTTTTGATGTGAGTGAAGTGAGTGTCAGTATGAAAAATGTTTGTGTGTGGCCTGAGGGCAGAGCTGTGTGCTGAGAGAATGATACTCTCACTGGAGTCTAGAGTGTGGCAATTATAAATGACACAGACCTAACTGCCTGACCATACAGAGGAAAAAACGTGCCACCAACTCAACACATATGAGGTCAATTAGGCAATCAGGCTCATCACATGTGATTTCTGACATACACACTTTTTGTCCAACCAATTTACATTCTCTTAAAGGGACAGTGCACTAAGGGTGTGCGATATGCATGGTCTCTGATAATATCATAATTGTTGTTTTAACTAGAGATGCACCGATCGATCGGCCAGTTATCGGAATCGGCCGATTTTCCTCATGATCGGCCCGGATCAGTGACCGGCCGGTCAGTCTCACTTCTTTCTGATTCCGACCCAATCCGTTTTGTTACCAGCGGCACAGGCAATAACGTCAGCTGCAGATTCTCGCTTTCAAATACAAACAAAATGTCAAAATGCCCGTCTTGGTGAGTATCCAGTTAAACAGTCAGTTTTGGAACGTTAAATAGTTGAGAAAGAGAACGCATGTTGTGTAACAGTATATTGGGTCCGTGGATAAACTCTTAAAGGGACCGCAGTCCAATATTCTTGCTGCTGTCTGTCATATTAATCAAAGAACAAAAGTGCATGTCAGAGTAAATGAGAATCATGAGGTCAAAGGAACTGCCTGAAGAGCTCAGAGACAGAATTATGGCAAGGCACAGATCTGGCCAAGGTTACAAAAACATTTCTGCTGCACTTAAGGTTCCTAAGAGCACAGTGGCCTCCATAATCCTTAAATGGAAGACGTTTGCACCTGAGTTAAATATATGAGTGTCACAGCAAAGGGTCTGAATACTTAGGACCATGTGATATTTCAGTTTTTCTTTTTAATAAATCTGCAAAAATGTCAACAATTCTGTGTTTTTCTGTCAATATGGGGTGCTGTGTGTACATTAATTAGGAAAAAAAATTAACTTAAATGATTTTAGCAAATGGCTGCAATATAACAGAGTGAAAAATTTAAGGGGGTTTGAATACTTTCCGTACCCACTGTATATGCTGTCAATTATAGTTCTTAGAAAAAAAATCGGAATCGGCATCGGCAGATCACACTAACAAAAAATTGGAAATCTGAATCGGCCAAGAAAATTGCTGCTCTAGTTTTAACAATGCATGATCAGCCACTTAGTACATCACTCACTTTGCGACAACAAAACATGCCTTCATATCATGCACTCCATGAGCTTGAACTGCTAGATTGCAGTTTGATTTTCAAGATATGGGGGCAAAAAAAATAAAAAAATTAATAATGCCCCTCTATGTGTTTTTGTCTTATATTTATGTCATATGATACAATTAGGTGACACACATCACACAAGCAAGAGTGCTGTTTTCCCCTGAATATCAACACGACTACAAACGTTATGAAATCGAGAAATCTGAATCGGCCAAGAAAATTGCTGTCGGTGCATCTCTAGTTTTAACAATGCATGATCAGCCACTTAGTACATCACTCACTTTGCGACAACAAAACATGCCTTCATATCATGCACTCCATGAGCTTGAACTGCTAGATTGCAGTTTGATTTTCAAGATATGGGGGCAAAAAAAATAAAAAAATTAATAATGCCCCTCTATGTGTTTTTGTCTTATATTTATGTCATATGATACAATTAGGTGACACACATCACACAAGCAAGAGTGCTGTTTTCCCCTGAATATCAACACGACTACAAACGTTATGAAATCGATAAGAAATTTATTGATTAAATGTGCAAATTTGACAAAATATGATACATACATCTATTACTATTAAAAACAGTGCTGCAAATACACGAATGATATGAAAAATGTCTCTGTCAATAGGTACTACATTATTATAATATTGAAGGTTAAAATGAACTGATTTATATACACACGCTTAAATTACACTACATTTTTATAATAAGTTTAAGTACACTAAGTTTTTATAATAATAGTTACAATTACTTAATTATATTTCTATTCCAATTAGTTTTTTGAAACAAACATTTAAATAGTGGCTGTCATAAAAACTTGACAGATTTATTCAAACAAATTAAACATTGAAGAACAGTAAAAAAAAATTAGAATAAATGTTATATAGTGCTTATATTTAGCAAACTGCTCTCTCTAGCATTCATTTTTCTAGCTGACTAACAAGTTTTTGGTCACCGAATATGTTTTTTCTGAGGTAAATGTGACATTACGTGACATTGTTTATAAGCCGTTTTATTGACACCTTTCCGCGTTTGAAACACTGATTGGGCAATTACATGACATTACATGGATGTGGATTTTAGTAAGCTGTACTCTTTCTTTTAACATACCTTAGGATGTTCATTCATGTTTATTTTGTGCTGTTAATAGTTAAAGCAGAGGAGATGATCAGTACACGTGTGTTACGCCCTGCCGCTTCTCTTGAACTGAAGCACTACAACGATCTGTCACTCCAGCACCAAAACCACATTTATTGTTTGAATATTGTAATAAAATGGTAAGAATTTTAAATTTGAGACTTTGTTTCATATCAGAAGTAACAAAGTACAAATCTTTTTGCGAGTTTTTGGATGCAATGAGCGCTAAAATTTTCCTTTCATTAACTGAAAACAGGTCAGCCCTAGTTATAATTTTGTCAATATCGCACAATAAAATTCTTGTAATAAAATTCGCCGCTAAAAACGACTAGTTCAAGCTAACATTCCCCCCCCCCCCC